AGTGCGTATGAACAGTCTCACCTGCCTTCGCTCGCGTAAAAAAAAGTAACAATGGTCACAGCTACCAGCGCCAGCCTGTGGTAAGAACCCAAAGCTTTCTGTAGGACACCAAGGGAAGACCACAGAGCCGGCACGCGGGACATACACGACTACAGTGTTCAAGTAAATGAAAACAAGTATTCATTGTCTTTAAAAATGATTCCTTTCACGTACAAAAGTAATAGAGGCAGTCACACCTTGAGATCCCAGGCTTTTCTGTACCGACGCCGAGGCTCAAGAGGATCACCGAGCAAATATTAGGTTGAGTTTTCAAGTATGGAGCAATTCAAGAGGCGGAGGCAGCCCCTCTGCGCCGGCGAGGGAGCAGGGCTTCTCTGTAGCTACGCCCGCTGTCACCACACACAGAGAGGGAGTGCTTTGCCTCCGCCGTGGTCTAGTAGAACATCACATAACAGCTACCAGAAAGTTTAATCTGGAATCGCCATTGAGACCGAAGGGGAACGGTTGCGTCGCCGGCCCCGCTGAACCACCACAGTTGGTAGCAGCTTCTGACTTCTCTGTAACACGTCAGAAATAAAAACAACGTGGCCTGCGGTGACCGGGACAGAACCGTGGCGACAGTACGCATGTGTAAAAAGTCTCTTAAAATTTCGCAATCCGATCCCTGCACCATGTAACAAACACATTCTTGTTGAATCCATCTAAAGACAGGTTTTCGACATTTCACGAGAAGTTTTGATTCCATTGGCGATGGTACGCATAAAGTGGTGGACCTGGAAAATGGTCAGCATTGCTTCTCTTAGTTGGTAAAACAAAAAGTCGAGGGGATAGTGCTTCAGCCAGCAATGCATAGCATCACAGAACAACCTTTGACCTCCATTTGTGCCATCACTTGAGCTGTCAAGCAAGTAGGTAAGGAAGGAAGGGCCGAAGAGAGATGGGGGAGAAGAGGGCGCATTAAAGTCAAAAAGAAAAAAAAGAAAAGAAAAGAAAAAAAAAACAAACAAACAGCCACCATCCACAGATATTTCAAAAACAATACAGCAAAGAACAGGGTTGAAGGTGGAGTTGTATGGGGAGAATGCCATTGGAGGTGAATTACCTTTGGGAACGGGTGTGAGGTTAGGAGTGAGGGGTTTTGGTACATCTCCCCCCTCCGATGAGTTGAGTAGGTTTCTCTGTAATGTACACCTACCGCCCAATGAAAG